TGTCCACTCACTAAACCAACTGGTGGGTATTTAGGCAATATAGTCACACTGTGCAATTTACTAACCCTGTAAATTCAGCATCAACTAGTCGGCTTCCTGCAGCTCACCCATTAATAAGCAAACCTTTAATCTTCACAAATACTATAAACAAAACGCCAGGCACCATTAATTAATAAAAAACAACACGGGCTCACTACATATGTTACAAGAAAAATGTGTGATACTCATCGGATTTCTTTATTTTAACCTCTACAGGTCTATTTTCAGATTGTATTTTTTTTCTATTAGAGACAGATCAAGCAAAAACTTAAAAGTGTGGTTGGTCCTAATCGATTTATTCTATATTTTATTTCCAAAGGACTGAATGTGGCCTCTCAGCGTTGACAAATCTTGTCCACGGGCAAATCAAAGCGATGAGAATATCGGTGTCCTGCAATATGTATACATAATATGAATAGAATAATCGGAACACACTATTATGTATATATTTTGCAGAGCACTGATAGGAGAATTTTCTTGCCACTTGATTCACAAAGAAGCAGTAAATATATTGATAACAGAAATGTAGATTTTGTCACCGTTCCTCCTCTGTTGGTCACTTGATCTGTGAGTTTATTCAACATTTACTTACTGCCCACTTACGATCATTTTTGGATTTATTTTTTTTGGGTGCCATGGACATTACTCTTAAAACAAAACTAATGAAACAGTTAGTTATTTGCTATTTCAGTTATTTTGTGATTCAGCCATACGGGGATTTAGAGTTGTGAAATTTATACAAATGGCCGATCGCCCAAACTCCATTATCAGCCAATATCAGGCGCATACACTCCATTGTGAGACACCATGAGGAGCATACACTCCATTCTCAGCCAAGATCAGGAGAGCATACACTCCATTCTCAGCCAAGATCAGGAGCATACACTCCATTCTGAGACACCATGAGGAGCATACACTCCATTCTCATCCAAAATCAGGAGCATACACTCCATCCTCAGCCAAGATCAGGAGCATACACTCCATTCTCATCCAAGATCAGGAGCATACACTCCATTCTCAGCCAAGATCAGGAGCATACACTCCATTCTCATCCAAGATCAGGAGCATACACTCCATTCTCATCCAAGATCAGGAGCATACACTCCATTCTCAGCCAAGATCAGGAGCATACACTCCATACACTCCATCCTCAGCCAAGATCAGGAGCATACACTCCATTCTGAGACACCATGAGGAGCATACACTCCATTCTCATCCAAAATCAGGAGCATACACTCCATCCTCAGCCAAGATCAGGAGCATACACTCCATTCTCATCCAAGATCAGGAGCATACACTCCATTCTGAGCCAAGATCAGGAGCATACACTCCATTCTCAGCCAAGATCAGGAGCATACACTCCATTCTCATCCAAGATCAGGAGCATACACTCCATTCTCAGCCAAGATCAGGAGCATACACTCCATTCTGAGACACCATCAGGAGCATACACTCCATTCTCAGCCAAGATCAGGAGCATACACTCCATTCTGAGCCAAGATCAGGAGCATACACTCCATTCTCATCCAAGATCAGGAGCATACACTCCATTCTGAGCCAAGATCAGGAGCATACACTCCATTCTCAGCCAAGATCAGGAGCATACACTCCATTCTGAACCAAAAGTTGATGCTTGTACTGCATTCTGAAGCAAGAGCACTCTGCTCTCTCTTCTGACTTCTTTAAATCTCTAAATCCTAGGCCCAGGTTCAAGATGCCGCAATCCTTTTTTGAAAGTTTTTAGAAGTGTTTTTATCACCTGCTCTGTAAATAGAACTTTAATCATATATAGGAGGCTCCTAGGGTGTTGAAGGATATCAGCAGAGCAGGAGATGAGAAATTCTAAATTAAACAAAATTTGCAATGCAGGGAATGTAAACATTAGATGACTCTTTACAGGAAGTGTTTAGGAAGGCAGTGTAAGTCACATGCAGGGAGGTGTGACTAGGGCTGTATAAACAAAGTGATTTTACTCCTAAATGGCAGAGAATTGAGCAGTGACACTGCAGGGGCATGATCTAGACACCAAAAATGCTTAATTACTATAACGTTGTTATAGTACTTATACATTTTTAAACTTTCAAACCTAATAGACACAGCTTCATAGTGTAATATAGTTTGTGTAATATGTCTCTACTTGCTGCATTCCTCACCCTGTGTTTTAAATCATTTTGAGCAAAAAAAAGTATTATAATCATATTATCCAGGAATCAATACCCTTGTTTAGTTTGAGAAATTCAGTGAATGATAAAACATATGTTCACTATCAATGTGTTATTTGTACATTGTTGCGAACATCATTCGTGTTTGTGTTATTTACTGCAGATAATTCCAGCCATTGCGCCAGCAGGTGCAGAAGAATTGCTGTAAATGTGTTCAATACATAGCGTCTCGAGCCCTTGACTGCCCATACAGTGAGATAAAGACACAGCGCAGGGGTGACATGGTGGCAATCTTTTATATGGGACACAGTTCAAGAACCGAGATTTAAATGGCATGTCCGCTACACATACCTCTCAGTAAAATATGAGCTGTGTATTACAACCATTACAGGATTCTTTCTGAGTTTCCCAAATTATACTGTTTCACTAACTGTCGAAACAATGCACACGTTTAACTACACTCGACATCCGCTTAAATGGCCATTATTTGTGGCAAGTCAGGTGAAGGGGAAAATAAATGGGGGATCTTGACAAATAACAGAATTTCTGTAGTTTTTCCTTTCACCACCCCCTCTCATCGTGTTGGCCATCTGTAAATAAGAGGATTGTCTCATCAATATCTCTTTGTATTTTCATATTATTCTGAGCAATCGTCCTTGGTGGAAATTCAACTTGAATACAACTCTTAATGATTGTAGGAGAATCTCATTCAGCTGTTTGGTGGGGAGGGGGGTGCCTACCTACTTTGTTTTTTTAATGACTACGTTAAAAAGAATCGTTTGCATCTGTTATACGAGTGAGCAATAATCTGCCTCGCAGCCTGCTCCCAGTAGGGTAAATAGATGCCAAGCCCCCGTATCATGAATAAGGCTTCATTATATGGCAGTGGTTGCTCTGTCCACTTCCGTGAAATTGCAGAAAACAGGCGCAGATTCCTACCCATTAGTAGAAGGACTTGTCAACCCCAATCCAGAATTTTTACAGTGCAAGAAATGTCTCCCCTTTTAAGTGCAAAACCATAATATTAGCATTTCCCCAAGTGCTCTCTGTTTTAGCCTGTTTCCTAATTAGAGGGATGATAAGAGGCGCGCTGATTGGCATTATAAAGCGCTAGCTTGCCTTTATATCTCCCAGGTGAGCTGTATGCACCGTTTCTGAAGATACCTCTCTCCTTCATTGTTCCTTAAAGTTTCCTTCTGAGGAGTTAATACAGATAAAAAGACATGAGAGAGAGTTTCCTCTGCCAAAGCTCATCACTGGGATCTTTTATCACAAATACAATCTATACAAGTTAGTTTTTTTTCCACCCTTTTGTTTCTGAGGGTTAAAAAAGAAAAAAAAAGGAAAAAATCCTTCTGTCAATGGACTGAATGTGTCATTAGAAGCCATGGCGTCTCTACAAAGGTTAGCAGATCTAACTGTCAATACCGGGAGTGGAGTGGAGTGCGGGAGAGGGGGAGCTCGGAGCTTTTGTGTGAAAGAGATACTTTGATATTTTGGAATGTTAGAAGGGTGAATGTGAGAAATTGGAGGTTGGGGATCCAATTACCCAACCATAATTGGGGGCTAGGGAATAAGTTGCAGTCCTCTCAACTCACCGCAGATCAATTATGTTAAAAGAACATCTGTAAGTAGAACTTAATGAGGTCCATTACAGCAACATGTACAGCCTCCTCTAGCAGTACTTGTCAGCTCCTTGGATGAGCTAGAAGAATCTGCTAACTAGGGACCTGGAGAGCTGTTTAAATAGTGAGTGCTGGCCCATTCAGGCAGAGGAGAGTGAGGCGGCTACAATTACTCTTTCTGGGATCTGAGAGTGGACAGCAGGCACTCTACACCTGACCCCCCCTACCCCCTCCCACCCCCCATCTTTCTTTCTTATGGAGTTTGTTGCATGATAGACATTTATTAAGCTTGTACCTCTATAAAATTAAGAGCTATCTTTGCCGCACACACTGGGACTACACACAAATTCACAAATATTAAATATTCCAGAAAAGCCCTCCCACATCTTTTATAGAGGAGAACCCCAACATTTCGCTCTGACTTCCCAAAAGACAAGGTAAGTTATTTTAAATCTTTTATTTTTGGGGAGGGTTTGGAGGGGGAACCCAGAGCTCAGCCACAAAACTCTTTAAACACCTGTTTGTGAACAGCAAAGGAATTATTTCGGAAATCGAGATGGGGTCATATCACAAAGCACCAATTTTATTCAGAGCCTTAATTTTGCAACGATGTTGAGAGTGGGATGGGAATGGAAAAGGTGGAATTAAATGTCCCATGTTGGATTTTCCAGGTAAAATACAGAGATTTTATGCAATAATTGAGGCAGTAACTATTCTACTTGGATGAGTGAGTAAAATCCCAATTTTGTTTGGCTTTTTGTGCTGGGAGAGGGCGCAGACAGTGCCGGGTGGAGGGGATGGGGGAGTGGGGTTAATAGTGTTTTCTTAAAGAGTCATGAGAGAATGATTAAACGAGGGCTCACCAGCTCACTCAGAAGACTTTCATTGTCTGATCACATCTGGGCTGTACATTACGCGGGAGCCTCTTCCACATCGTACTGTGAATAATTCATACGATTAGGAAGGAAAAGTGCTATTCTGTATCGCACGCCTCTCTTCCAGATTTAAAAGAAAAAAAATATCTGCTGCAAATTGCATGATTTGAAATAATTTAATTCATGACAAAATCTAATTACTGTCAGGTAATACTCTGTCAGTTTTAATGTATTTCATCACTCATAAGGAGAGGAAGAGCATTTTATGGACGCTCTAATTAGCATTACATTTTATGGTGCTAACTTTCTGCTTTTGGTAACACTGATAAGGAGCACCAGTCTCCGGCAATGAGAGGGTGTCTGAATGGAGCAACAGTTTCTGGCAATGAGAGGGTGTCTGAATGGAACACCAGTCTCCGGAAATGAGAGGGTGTCTGAATGGAGCACCAGTCTCCGGCAATAAGAGGGTGTCTGAATGGAGTACCAGTCTCCGGCAATGAGGTGTCTGAATGGAACACCAGTCTCCGGCAATGAGAGGGTGTCTGAATGGAGCACCAGTCTCCGGCAATGAGAGGGTGTCTGAATGGAGCACCAGTCTCTGGCAATGAGAGGGTGTCTGAATGGAAACCAGTCTCCGGCAATGAGGTGTCTGAATGGAGCACCAGTCTCCGGCAATGAGAGGGTGTCTGAATGGCAACCAGTCTCCAGCAATGAGGTGTCTGAATGGAAACCAGTCTCCGCAATGAGGTGTCTGAATGAAAACCAGTCTCCGGCAATGAGGTGTCTGAATGGAGCACCAGTCTCCGGCAATGAGATGGTGTCTGAATGGAGCACCAGTCTCCGGCAATGATAGGGTGTCTGAATGGAGCACCAGTCTCCGGCAATGAGAGGGTGTCTGAATGGAGCACCAGTCTCCGGCAATGAGAGGGTGTCTGAATGGAACACCAGTCTCCGGCAATGAGAGGGTGTCTGAATGGAGCACCAGTCTCCGGCAATGAGAGGGTGTCTGAATGGAGCACCAGTCTCCGGCAATGAGAGGGTGTCTGAATGGAGCACCAGTCTCCGGCAATGAGAGGGTGTCTGAATGGAGCACCAGTCTCCGGCAATGAGAGGGTGTCTGAATGGAGCACCAGTCTCCGGCAATGAGAGGGTGTTGAATGGAGCACCAGTCTCCGGCAATGAGAGGGTGTTGAATGGAGCACCAGTCTCCGGCAATGAGAGGGTGTCTGAATGGAGCACCAGTCTCCGGCAATGAGAGGGTGTCTGAATGGAACACCAGTCTCCGGCAATGAGAGGGTGTCTGAATGGAGCACCAGTCTCCGGCAATGATAGGGTGTCTGAATGGAACACCAGTCTCCGGCAATGAGAGGGTGTCTGAATGGAGTACCAGTCTCCGGCAATGAGAGGGTGTCTGAATGGAACACCAGTCTCCGGCAATGAGAGGGTGTCTGAATGGAGCACCAGTCTCCGACAATGAGAGGGTGTCTGATTGGAGCACCAGTCTCCGGCAATGAGAGGGTGTCTGAATGGAGCACCAGTCTCCGGCAATGAGAGGGTGTCTGAATGGAGCACCAGTCTCCGACAATGAGAGGGTGTCTGAATGGAGCACCAGTCTCCGGCAATGAGAGGGTGTCTGAATGGAGTACCAGTCTCCGGCAATGAGAGGGTGTCTGAATGGAGCACCAGTCTCCGGCAATGAGAGGGTGTCTGAATGGAGCACCAGTCTCCGGCAATGAGAGGGTGTCTGAATGGAGCACCAGTCTCCGGCAATGAGAGGGTGTCTGAATGGAGCACCAGTCTCCGGCAATGAGAGGGTGTCTGAATGCTGAGGCACTCATTGGGTTAATCCCTTCCCAGGCATCTGTTGACATGAGAATCTTATTGCCATAGTACAAACAGAGTGCTAATTACTAAGAATGATGTCACTGTAGGTAGCGGAATAATCCCATCATTTAATTAGTTGAATGATTTAAACAAAGATTTGCATAGATGCACTAATGAGTTGCCATGAATTACAGAGCAGCCGTTAGCAGCGAGGGGTAACAGATCACACAGTTTGGGGGGGCAGGGGGAGACAATCTCATCTCCTTCAACATAATTAATTTAATTGTCCTCATTAGCTGTACCATTTGTTTTGATTTTATTTTTCTTTCTTTCGCCCTGAGTGGCAGACTCTGCTCCTGCAAGCCTGCTTTCTTTGATGTCTTGAGCAAAATAAATGGGGTTATGTGTTTGGAGGGTCTTGGTACAGTGCTTACCTGTGTATAGTGACTGTCCTGTTTGTATGTTATACTGTCCCTGCTGCTGCTGCTGCTGCTGCATTTCCCTCATTTAAGTTAGTTTGTGCTGGGGGGCTGTGCCCTCACTCAGGGGGTCTTGCTGCCCTCTGTGGAATTATGGACTTCCCAAGTGAGAGCGGGCATGGTGTCATTCATTCAGGCACCCAGATTAATACAGATTAATAGACCTGGTTTATCACATGTTTTCTGACCAATTCCACAACCAGTCAAGACGTGTCTGGGTTAAATTGAAAGATCTGGGGTTAAATGTTTGGGTTGATATGTCTAGGGTTAAAGGTCTGTGGTACAATATCTGTGGTTCAACGTTTGGATTCAAAAGTCAGGGGTTAAAGCGGCTCTTGGTCACTTGTGTGTGGACACTTGTTACTTGTTGGTAATATCTCCACTCACACCTGTCCATTTGTCCTTCTTGGTGGCCCGCAGACACAGTGATGTGGTCTTCCAACATGTGCCAGTATGTTCTCCTCCAGGCACAAAGATGTTCACCAGTTTGTTATTTGAGGGTCTGTGTGGTCCTTCTGTGTTGGTGCCCCCCGTTGAGCTTTCTAGATATTGCACATGATCATTTTGGGAAATGACACACGGTCCCTGATCAGGACCTCCTCTCAGACCTCCCCATAGGCTGCTTCAGTTATTTGGTGGAGTGAAGCATTGTCAATGTGGAAGGAGGGGGCGAAGGTTGGGGGAGGGAAGGGGAGGTAGGAGCTACTCTGTAGTCTAACAGGAGCTGCTGGGAGCTGGTGATTTTGGAGCACTTACTCAGTAATAAGAGGGTGACCTTTTCTTTGCTGTATTCTATCTTGCTGGGAAGGGACTGGGCTTGCAGATGATCCTGTCTGTGTATCTCCTGCTCTCCTCCTCCTCACCAGTTGCTCGGTAAGTTGCCCTGACTCTAGGATGACACCTGTAGATCAAATGTAGTCAGCCCAATGAGTGTAGGATCCTTGAAGGTCTCATTAACTCACATTCCACAATCCCATCCTCTTCCACATGAAGTTTTAGCCCCTTGAGGGAGGAAAAACTCTGATCCCTAGCAGTGGTGGCTGAGCTGCCTAGTCGAAAAGGTAAGTTTAAGAAGCCACCTGAAGATGCCAATCAGAGTCTCTTCTTTTCCTAATGATCCAGATAAGTTTCTGCCTCCCTGCATTATCTGCCCCAGCTTGGGTCTCACATTATTGATGATGTTCTTTTTAGGCAGGTGTTTATGTTCAGAGCTAATTTATGGGTCTCCCTATGTTTTTTGGGGGAAGGAGGTATCCAATGGTCCTTTGCACTATACAGGTCAAGCATTGCTTTTGTGTGGTCTATATTTTAAAATCTGATATATTTTATGCCCTGGTTTTGCAGCCTTTCATTGCCCAGATAGAAACCCACCCTGTTGGCAGGAGTAGCTGCAGGTTTCTTGCATCTCTTGTTTTCTTTATTTAGAAGAAAGTATTGGTTTGTGTTCAAGGTGATTGTACTGTTGCAGGGGTTGCTGATGGTCTATCATTGAGAAGATATTTGTGAGTTCATCTTTTCTAATGCAAGGAGGCAGTACTGGTTTCTGCCCCTTCTCAAGATTTGACCCCTCTACAGTGCTGGTATTGTTGCAGGAGATGGATGTGGGCAGCCCTGGAGTCTTGATGGAACATTCAGAAGATGCCCTCACCCCCTGCATTGCCCCAGATGGGGTTGTTGAACAGTTTCAGGGGTGATACTCTCAGAAGTCCAGTAGAGAGGGCAGACTTGCCTCGCACTCCTTTGCATTGCCCCGGATGAGGTATCTGTGGTGTATTTTTGGTCCCCAACCCCCCACCTTGTCCCAGCTGAGGTCTCTGTGCTGTGGGTCCTATGGAGTCCCAGTAGAGCTATGAGGAGCTGTCCCCACCCCCAGTGCTGAACACAGAGCTGCTGTCAGCCTCCCATTCCATGCATTTGGTGGCTAGCAGCCTGGAGACAGGAGGATTAGAGGCTCCCGGCCGGGGTGGGGGCTTGCTCATTCTACAGCTCGCAGACACATGCAAGCAGACCGGGCTGCAAAGGGGGACAATAGGCTGCATTCTCAACTGTCCCCTCCATCGCAACAGGACCATCTTCTGCTCCATGAGAGATCACTCAGCTCAACTCATGCACAAAAGAGAGAAAAGTTTTGGTAGGTAGCAGTCATGCTGTGTATTGTGTGTGTATTAGTTGTGTCAGTGTGTAAATTGTGTTAACTTTTGAGATGTATCATTGTGGGAATTGTTTCAGTGTGTGAGTTGTGTCAGTGTGTGACCTGTTTCAGTGTGTGAGCTGTGTCAGTGTGTGAGCTGTGTCAATGTGTGTGTTGTGTCAGTGTGTGAGTTGTGTCTGTATGAGAGTTGTGTCAGTGTATGAGCTGTGCCAGTGTGTGAGTTGTGTCAGTGTGTGTGTTGTGTCAGTGTGTGAGTTGTATCAGTGTGAGCTGTGCCAGTGTGGGAGTTATGTCAGTGTGTGTGTTGTGTCAGTTTGGGAGTTGTGTCAGTGTGTGAGTTGCATCAGTGTGAGCTGTGCCAGTGTGTGAGTTATGTCAGTGTGTGTGTGTGTTGTGTCAGTGTGTGTGTTGTGTCAGTATATGAGTTGTATCAGTGTGAGCTGTGCCTGTGTGTGAGTTATGTCAGTGTGTGTGTTGTGTCAGTGTGTGAGTTGTATCAGTGTGAGCTGTGCCAGTGTGTGAGTTATGTCAGTGTGTGTGTTTTGTCAGTTTGTGAGTTGTCATTGTGTGAGTTGTCAGTGTGTGAGTTATGTCAATGTGTGTGTTGTGTCAGTGTGTGAGTTGTGTCAGTGTGTGAGTTGTCATTGTGTGAGTTGTCAGTGTGTGAGTTATGTCAATGTGTGTGTTGTGTCAGTGTGTGAGTTGTGTCAGTGTGTGTGTTGTGTCAGTGTGTGAGTTGTGTCAGTGTGTGAGGTGTCAGTGTGTGAGTTGTGTCAGTGTGTGAGCTGTGTCAGTGTGTGTGTTGTGTCAGTGTGTGAGTGTGTCAGTGTGTGTGTCAGTCAGTGTGTGTTGTGTCAGTGTGTGAGTTGTGTCAGTGTGTGTGTTGTGTCAGTGTGTGTGTTGTGTCAGTGTGTGAGTTATGTCAATGTGTGTGTTGTGTCAGTGTGTGTGTTGTGTCAGTGTGTGAGTTATGTCAATGTGTGTGTTGTGTCAGTGTGTGAGTTGTGTCAGTGTGTGTGTTGTGTCAGTGTGTGAGTTGTGTCAGTGTGTGATGTGTCAGTGTGTGAGTTGTGTCAGTGTGTGATGTGTCAGTGTGTGTGTTGTGTCAGTGTGTGAGTTGTGTCAGTGTGTGATGTGTCAGTGTGTGATGTGTCAGTGTGTGAGTTGTGTCAGTGTGTGAGTTGTGTCAGTGTGTGTGTTGTGTCAGTGTGTGTGTTGTGTCAGTGTGTGGTTCATCCTTTATTCAGACTATTCCTGTGGATACCCCATATCCCAGCTCAAGGGCAGACATGCAATCAGCTTTGCTGGCAGGAGCCACACACTCTTTATAGTGTGTCTCCTGGTTTTGAGTTGTGTGTATTTTTTATTATTCTGTATTTTGAGCTGCGTCAGATTTGAAGTCAGTCTTGCAAATCTCTTGTTGCCCTTTGCCAAGCCTAGCACTTTGCTGCTATGGTAACTGTAATTAAACTGATAAGACTGGAAAAAATGTCACTATCTGGGAGCTTTGCAGCTGCATTGGAGAAGGGGAATGAAATTGCTTCCCAGCTCCAATGCTCCACAATAAGGAGGGGGCTAGGGAGTGAGCATGTGGAGCCGGGGAGACAGCCAGCTCTGTGTGCATTGTGTGCCCGCAGTGATCACAGAATCAGGCTTTCAGACCCCAAGTGAGTGGGAGAAGGGGCTCAGACCACGGGTTGGTGTCTTCTTGCAAATGGGCGGCATTTTTGGTCATATTCCTTTCAATGCTTTCCTTCTTTAGTCTGTGCAAACCCCATAGTGAATATTTATAATACGAATGGCCAAGTGCTCTCCATTTGCATGCCACCCACAGCTGGCATAATGAAGGTTATTGTGTGCCCAGACCATGCCCGATGCCCCACTCCACTTTGTTGTGTTAAGTGTTGAAGCTGGGACTGTGCGGGTGAATGACACAGAACAAGGGGATAATGGAGGCAGTGAGGCGTGAGAGAGACTCACAATACAATCCAGGCAATTAAAAGCTCAGCAGAGTTTAAGGGAAATGGCGCGGTCCCCTGTCAGCGCATCGCACAGCGTATTATTTCGAGATCATTTTCCTTATTATTTCCTTTAAGTTGGCAAATCATTACAAAGCATGAGATTACTGGCAATCCACTGGATACTGCTCTGTGTGCACTTTCTGTGTGTGCCTGCTTCAGCTGAATTTGTGTATACAGTGTGTATTCTGTGTGTGTCTGCTTGTGTTTATATCTGTGTCTATACAGTTTGTATTCTGTGTGTGTCTGCTCGTGTTTATATCTGTATCTAAACTGTGTGTATTCTGTGTGTGTCTGCTCGTGTTTATATCTGTATCTAAACTGTGTGTATTCTGTGTGTGTCTGTTCGTGTTTATATCTGTATC